GAATAAATTATAAGATCTAAAAATAGGATTGATTCTTACCTTTAACGACCTTCTGGAAGACTGCCAGACAACCTGTTTTTGCGTTATTCCTTTCTTCTAAGTGTTATACGTGTTCGGTTATCCCAATTTCGTCAGTAATATAAGAGAACCATAATCACAGATCCTCTCGCTGAAACTTATTCTCAGAGACATAAAGGAATAAGAACTCAGTCCCCGGATTTTAGTTTTAAGGCCCAACTGCCCATTCGTGATAACATCCATTGGTGACAACCTCTGCTTAAGTTTGAAATCAACACTATAATTCTGCACAGCCTTCTCAACGTATCTTCAGAACATAACACCAAATGCTCTTCACTGTATTATGCTCATTTGTAAGTTGAACTGTGAAGCATGTAATGTATTATCTATTGAAACAACTACTAAGATTAAAACTTTAAAATATCCTAATTTCATTTAAATCGAACTTGACTTAACATGTTTATCCATTAAATGTTAGAGAAAGCATATCACAGGATATAGTTAACTGAATTCATTTTTAAATAACTAAATCAAAACGTATTTCTATTACCAGAGGAATATGATCTATTCAACAAATACAAAACAACGGCTACTGAAGAAGGCAAAAGCAATTGTGTTTAAAGATTTCTGCCTCCCCCACCTCCACCAATATAAAGATTCAAGTAGTCCTCATATAAGACCACCCAATGCACTCATTTTGAAGTAAAGGGAGCCAACTATTCCCCCCAACCATTTTCCCCGGAAGACAGCACTTGCCACTTTTCAGTCTCAAAACAACAAAAGTAATCTGTTTACCGAAGAAGGTAGTTTGAGGGTAATAAAACTACCACATACACCGCCGAACTATCTTCTTTATATCAGTCTTACTGTTAGCCTTTGTGAAAGCCATAGTTTATGGGTCAGTTTTCCAAAATGACATATTTTAAAAGTATAAAATATCCTTATATTCAAAATATGTGCTGTTTACTTTGTAGAGAAAGCATGTATATAACCCAATGCAATAGAAAACTTGACTTGCATCAAGTATGATGCTGACTGGATTTTGTCTTCTTCGGCCATGGGGATTCAAGATTCCTAAAGCATTTTTGCTTTGATGAGTCACATCTGTAATATAATCACTATACCCATCCCCACCTAATACACTGCAACACATTTTTCCCTCCAAGATCAGGCCATAGTCATTTCACAAGAGAAAGGAAAAAAAAAAACTGATTAAAAGGAAACAGGACAGACAGTGAGTAAGCCATGAACAACTGCCCAAAGAACTGTAAAAATCGAAGCAGATTATTTCCATGTGTTTCAATTAAAGTTGCCATGAGAGGTGGACAAAGAACTAGAAAGAATATTGATAAAGTTGTATTCATTCTCTCCTTTTGTCACTGCACTTAGAGCCAAAGAATAAAAAATACAATTACTGGGGAACTTGCAAAATTTTAACACGAAAACATTTGAGATGTAGCCAATGCAAACAGTCTAATTTGTAATCCCATCAGCCAATGAGAGAATATTCAAAAACATTTTATATACATTTTTAATACACACAGAAAAAAGAAGTAAAGGTGTATAAACAGTAGTTGCCTTTCAGAGGTAGGATAACAAATTAGACTTTTTCACTTTCCTGCATGTCAATTATATATTTGTTCTAGACAATTTAGAAATGATTTGTAATAAGAAAAAAAGATTTGGTATAAATGATTAGGCAATTAAAATCTACAAATCAAATTAAGTATCAAAATGTAATACATGACATTTAGTTTTAGCAAATTTTTCTGGTCATAGTAAATTTTTCTACAGAATCATTTCCTCCATTAAAAGCTATTACAGGTTGAATTACGTCCCTCTAAAAACCATATGTTGAAGTCCTAACTCCAGTGAATGTGACCTTATTTGGAAGCAGGGTCATTGCAGAAAGGATACTGCCACCCACCAAGTGGGAATATTCTCCTTAGAATGTAGCTCAAATGTAAGATAAATAACTCTATTCTTCAAGTCATTTTATTGTTGGGTTTCTCTGTTATTACAGGTTAGCTTTTTGCCCTAATACAGTGTCAAGGGAAATAAGATGTTTCAAACACATGCAGCAAAGCGGTACACTGGAAACCTGGTAGCTCTCTGAAAGAAACAGTGACTGTGCCTCTGTGGGAGATGTTTACATGTACCTGTAGTAAACTGAGCAACGACGATCACAGCTTCAAATTTGAGACAACATATTTGATGATCTTAGTAGTAGTTACACCACAATATAAACCCTTTGTGGAAATCTACCAATTCTTATTCTCAAAGATATTTTTAAATTTAATTTTCTTTCATTTTTTCATTTTCAAAAATTTTCAATGAGAATAATTGCTTTAAGTTAAGTTTATCATATTGCTATGATTTTACATATATTTTAACAGTACAAAAAAAAAGTAATATATAAAAGTCTCATACTCCTCTAATCCCCTCCTTAGGGAGAGCCGGTAAGAAGCCAGGAAGGTATCCTTCCAGATATGTTGTTTTTTTTTCTTAAATAAGGGTAGTCAAATTTTAAACTCCAGAATAATTTTAATTTTGTGATACAAACCTAGTGTTAAAACCAAAATACATTCTAATAAGCATACAGAGCCTTTGAATATTTGCATTGCTCTTGGAGAAGAAAAGTTAGTCAAAGGTGCTAATGACCAGCAATATGGACTATTTCTTCTTCTTAAATGTTTCCCAAATGTCATTATGTGAAATTGGAATACATGTGACTAGAAGAAAGTTCCTGGAGGACAATTCAATACTTCTCCATTACTTCATTCTACTGTAGATGAACCATAATGTCTACTTCTGTCTGGTCAAAACACTGAAAATTACTCTTCTAAAATTTGGGATGTGTGCCTTTTATTAAGTTACAGGTTTTTTCCAGGGTAAGTATCCAAATCCTTATAGGCACTTGTCTATCAGGAAGACACTTTCTAATGAACTAAAAAAAAAAATAAGGAGATAAAAACTACTCTCATTTAGTTAATCAGGGACCTCATTAACCTGTAACCAAGAACAGAATCTACAATTCCAACTCCTATTTTGTGGGGCGCACACATGTTCCTGGATTCAAACATGTGTTTCCATTTAAACTTCTGGAATGTATATATGGCTCCACGAAGGGTGATAAATATTAGCAAATCTTATAAGAATGAAGGTCCTTTATGACCACATACACTGTTTTGATTCAACTTTTAAAATGTCTGAGTCATACAAAGCTGAACAGTCTGCTTTTTACATCTATCTGCAAGTTAAGGAACAATGAAAAAAAAATCCTTCCACAGCTAGCATCTATTTGTCCCATCACAGCCAACCCAAGGCAAATCTGAGATTTCCACTCTTCGTTTTCTCTTTTCTTCTTCCCCTTGCAGCAAGCCTGCCCCAGCAAAAGGTAGGGCATTCCAAAATGCCCAGGTATTAAAGACAAGTTGGATATTAACCAACGTCAGATAATGCCAAGCCAAGGCCTTCAGGCATAGTACATAAACTTCAACAGCATGAG